TAGCTACCCCTACTACTGATGGCTTTTGTTGTATATGGCACAGAACACGATGTTACCATTTTTTCAGTTCATCTAGTTTAGCATTCAGCTCGTCTTCCAATTTTGATATCTCTATGGGTTTGTCTTTTGCAGATCTTCACATGGCATTGGACTTTGCAATAAATGTGAAGTTCTTAGTCAGCTGACAGCTATGCAGACTTGAGCAAATCTTGTGTGCAACTTTCAAGCTTGTGGTTCTTAGTCTTTAGTTCTTCAATTTCCCTAAGCATGGATTTCCGTTTTTGTCCAGTTGTTTCTTCCTGCCCTTTTTTTCTTTTCAGCCTCAAGATATTGGTTGTATTCGGTTCTGGCATTTGAAGGACTGCAAAGAAGAGGAAACATTCCCAGCACTTCCAAATGTGGTCAAATAGTCTGTGATAATGCACTATGCAATCAGTCTGCTCTTTCATATTGTCAGTGGAAATTTCTTTATTCAATAAGAAACCTCTTTGCACTGAGGCCTGTCCATGAGAGAGTACCAGTAATCTGCAAACAACTTTCCACGGTTTTTGATATTCATTGTTGCTCGACAAAGGTTTCCATGCTTGCTGAAAGCGATATTTACAGCAGCCTCCTCAAATTCTTTGCAATGACAAAATCACAATCAGACTTGCTGACTTCTTTTCTGTCCATCATGTGGGAAAATACATCTTTCTAGAATGTCTTGTGTTCAACCATGCAAATGACAAGAGGGTTATCTAAGGGGAGACAAAGTCTTTGTTGCAATTCTGCATGCAAACAAATCTTTTGTTGACACATTACTTTTTTTTCTTCATAAATTTTGCATAGCCCTATCTTCCAGAAATACACACTTGATCTTTGGGTCTGACAAAATTCTTACAAATTCATTCAGTTTGGAAAATGTAATTATCTTTTGAGCGTGCTCTTCCTTTACAAATCTTAAGTTTCATGATCATGCTAAAAAAAAAAACAAAAAAAAAAAACATCTACAAGGAAAGGAAGCAATATTTTATCAGAAACGGTTTGTCTTTTGAAACAGACACAAAAATCTGCAGTTTCACTGGATATAAAAGGTCATTCACATTTGACAGCACCGCAGACAGGGACTTGGTTTTGGGACATTTTTCTGTCTCAAATTTGATGACATCTGTGCAAATGTCTATAAGACATTCACATTTGTACATTTTCTAGCCATACAAAAGTAAAGGAATAGGGTTGCCAGTTGAACTTTTAAAGCCAAGCAATAAAAGCACAAAAGTTTTAATATCATTTTTTAACACTGACAACAAAAACTAGAGATACAGGTCATTATCAGCCTGCAAACTTTAAAAACATTCTTATTTTTTCAAAGACATTTTCTATCCTATCTTAAGACACATCAAAGGCATATTTTTTTTTTTATTCTATCATCCTTCTTGTCTACATTTTCTTTGAGTCAAATTTGATTCTCAAACTTGTTATTTTGGGCAACAATTTAGTTTACACATTGGTGTGGACATATTTTTCACTTAGTTACTAATATGTTGATACAAATTGTTAACCCTTATTTGCTTCAGCCGTTTCCATAGTAATTAATTTTACGAATGAATATGCTTATAAAGATGCGTAAATTTCAAGATTAGTTATTCCAAAAATTTCGCTTTTGGCTCTTGTTTTTAAAACATGAAAACTCTTATGCAGCAAAGGAACCATATCTTAAATATATATATATATATATATGTGTATGTGTGTGTGAAAACTGATAATTACTTGTACTATAGCCAAAGTGGGTAGGAGGGGAAACAGGCACAAAACTGACCAGCTTTATAGTTTGGCCAAGAGAACAAAAAAAAAAAAAAAAAAAAAAAAAAAAAGTAAAAGTAAAAAGTACAAAATAGGAGATACAAATTGTTACAGATTTTTTATTCAAAGAGGCAACAGTTGATATAACCAAAACATTTGATACAATTATGCAGGTTTGTTGACAAATGACAAGACAGTGACTTGTTGGCCATTACCACTGAGATGAAGAGCATTTGTCAAGTGGGGGGGGGGGGGGGGGGTAGAAAGAAAAAAAAAAAAATTCTGAAGCAGAACAGAAATGATGAAAAATCAAAGGAGTTGAATGAACAAAATACAGGCATGAAGTCAAGATAATCTTTGGCAAAATACTTGACTGAAGAAGTGATTCTCCAATATTGACACTTAGAGAAAGATTTTCTCTCCCTCTCTTGTTTCTGTTGTTGTTGTCGTCTGCGATGTGTATTATAAGTACAATGAGCGTGAATAGATGAGTTGTTGGTTCGATTCCATAACAGTTAATATCCAGCAGCCATAGAGTATCACAGGCTGGCAAACAGTAAAACAGGCAGCAATTTTTTAATATGTCTCTTTTTTTTTTTTTTTCTTCCTCTTTTTTTTTGCTTTTTCTTATGGCCTACATGGATGAAAAGATTAAAACTTTCTACAATTACTGTCAAGGAATCACAATGGTAGTGTAACCAGAAGAGAGAGAGAGAGAGAGAAAAAAAGAAGAGAGCTAGAGACTTTCTTTTTAAATTAAAAAATAATAATAATGAACTAACCATGGTACAAAAAAAAAAAAAAGAAAAAAAAAGAAAAAAAAAGAAAATTCATTAAGATGAATTAAATGTACAATAATGAGAATAAGTAAATCAAAATGAGTCGTATAAATATTGTGATGAAAGTAATATGAAGTAGTGTTGCCATTTTAAAAAAATTTTTTTGTTTTTGTTTCTTTTTTCGTAATAATATTCTGGATGGACTTCCACCAATACGACTAACTAACGATACTTGGGACATTTATAGTAGCAAGGTAAGGATCTTAAACTGGCTTAATATTTGTTAAGAGCAACTGCACACCCCACAACTGATTTGTTGAAACAATTGGTATCCTTTCTAAACATGTAAAGAATAGAGAAAGTATTTAATCTACGTGAACAAAAGGGATGACTACAAATTAATATGGAAGCAAAACCTGCAATGGAATGTTTTTTGAGAGAGAGAGAGAGAGAGAGAGAAAAAAAAAAAAAAAAAAAAAAAAAAAAAAGGTAGATATTTTTTACTGTTAGAAATGAAAATTACAAATAGCTTTTACTATGTAAAACAAAACCCAAAGAGTTAATCTTACAACTAAACTTGAAGTTAACAGAAAGGAAACTATGATCAAAAATACAAATATGAAAGATTCAGCTTTTTTTACTTAAAGTCAACTCTGTAATTAAATGAAACTATGCAAATAATTACTGGTAATAAATTCCTTTAATTAATTACGGAAAAAAAAAAAAAAAAGAAAAAGAAAAGGAATCTCCTAAAAGATATGATTAGTAATCACATCAAGTGAACAAAATATTTAAGGGAGCATCTCTTAAAACAAAAAAACTATTTTGCTAGGAAAAGATCAAGTTTTTTTTTTGGTTGCTTTTAAATAATAATAAAAAAAACGAGTGTGCTTCTGTGACCTTTTCCAGTAAATAAGAATTTCTGTTTAAAAAAAAAAAAAAAAAAAATTTTTTTTTTAAAATTTGTGATCAAAGTCACAATACTTATATTCACTTGATTGTTAATTCAAGGATATACATTATAATAATTCAAATGTCAAAGTTGAAATTAAATTTAGGAGCTAAAACTAAAAAAAAAAAGGTAAAATATAGAGGCCTTCATTCATTGCACAATATAAAGAAGCTTATTTACGTCCAGCAGACGAACAGGAATTGGCTAAAGACGGCAAAACTTCTAAACTTAAACGGTTCTATTCTCTTCTGCAGTCCAAATCTTTTCTACACTAAAAGTGGGAAAATTAAATGGCCTTTAGTTAAAAAATAAACATCAATGTGACGATCATTATCAGTGATTGAAAAATAATGAAGTAAACTAATCTTTTTGTCATAATGATTTGTTATTGAGTGAGAAAGAAAGAAGGAAAAGAGTAAAGGGAACTAAAAGAAAAAAGAAAGGAATGTTTGAAGAGCAATAAAGAAGGCAGTTTAGAAAACTGCAAGAGATTCCTACATACTTATTTTTTATGAACCAACTTATTACGATTAACTTTATAAAATTGGAATTACAACTCTACAACTGGCATGAAAGAGTAGCAAAACTTAAAAAAAAAAAAAATTTGCCATACAATTTCCTTCCTGTTGTAGTGTTGTTAAAATTGCAATTTCTCTCAAATCAGTAAAACAATCTGTTTAAAAAAAATTCTCTGTAAGTTATTTTAGAGCATAAGAGATTTTATAAGTAAATTAATGTACTGACTCCTATATACTTTATACAGTTTTTGTTGTTGATTTAATAAACTGATGATAAGGGTTTGTAGGCAAGAGAGAATGATCAATTTAACTCTTATCTCTGCTTTCTCTCTTGCCATAGTTGATACAACTGGATATTTGTCCTGCAAGTGGGATGTAGACCACTGATTTGATTTCAGCCAGCAGATTGTTCTTGTATATGATTTGTTAAACTGGGAAGATGGCAGTGGTTCAGACAGACCCCATCAAATAGTGACAAAGCAGCAAGAAGTTGGGCAGACAGGCAGCCCACCTTACAGATTCAAGAGTCCATCTCCAGTATTCACCAGGAATTCTACACAAAACACCACAACTGCCAAAGCTGCAAGCCCTCGCTACCAGCACTTGAGTTTTTTCTTTTCTCCCCGCCCCCGCTCATCTCTTTGTAAAACAAAAAAAAAAAAAAAAAAAAAAGAAAAAGAGAAGAGAGAGAAAAAAAAAAACAAAACAAACAAAGAATGAGAAATTTTGTTTCTGTATATGTGCATGCATATTTGTGAAGGTATGACATGAGCCAAGGAAAAAAAAAAAAAAAGGAAAGGAAAAAAAAAAGATACAGCAAGTGGTGTAAAGGGCTAGAGAGGCTGAGCAATGACAGTTTTCTTTCTATTTTTTCTTCTTCTTCTTTTGTATGTGTTTTAAGATTTGTGTTAACAATGAAAGACTTGTGGTAGTGAGCTGCTGCTTACTACCCCCCCAGCTGCAGGGAGATCATAAAAGCACAGGCATGCTCAAGTGGACGCTCTCCATTGCATTCTGATCCGGGGTTTCAGTGTAGGTATGTGCAGAATCCTGAGACAGGACATTACACAAGGCTTTCAAGCAATTGCCTGGAATTAAACTGCCTGAAAAACACAAAAATATCATTTGTTTAGAAAATTAAAATAAGCTAGCAGATAATACCATATTAATAGAAAGGAAAGTGTCTATCGAATAGATAATTTGTTGTTTGTAACAATATATTACTTTTTAAACTTACTGTCCAGCATGAATTTTCACTTGAAACATTTCCTCTCAATTGATTAGCTGCCAATTTACAGCAAGACATCTCATTGTACTTAGCAAATAGAGTGGGCTTGCACAATAGAGCCAAGCAAACATTTGTGGATTTGAGGACCTTAAATGATGTTCAGCTCAATTAATGAGCTGTATTAAATGTTATTTTGGACTTAAAAGGAAGTTTAAAATAAAACTTTTACATTTCTAATTAAGACAGAGAGTTAGGTCTAGAAACTTAGGTCTACAGTGAAGAGCAAAATTCTTCAAGAGAGATTAAAGTTTGTATTTAATTCATTTAGACTTCTTTTGGAGGGATTTTCAGTGAAAAATAGAATCAGACCTTGTCCACCAACATAGGAATAGAGATCTAGATCATGATTTTACTGATAAATACAAAGAAAGGTGTGTTGAAAATTGATATATGGTGTGAAAAGAGGGAAATGATCCAACATATGAAAGGAACTGGTCACATTTTAACATTTTTCTGAAAAAAAATTTTACATTTTGCAGATATAATTTTTTTTATTATTTGGAAATTTACACAGAAAAGGAGGAAAAATAGTCATCTAGGGCATTTTTTGTTGGCATTATTCAAAGTTGGCAAAGGGTCAGTGCAAAAACATGGCAAAAAAGTATTAATTTGACTGAATGTTGTGGTGTAAGGTTGCAAAATCCACTTGATATAGGTCATTTCTGAAAATGATTGTCAAGTTAAGCTTGTTTATCACATAACATGTCAACAAGATATCAACCGGAGTTAGGGCAAAGTTAGACCAGTCCTAAATCCCTGAGATTGTCTATTTTCAGACCAGATATAATACATGTGATTTTGTCCGCAAAATGCCAAATATCTGCTTGTGAGACCACTATGCCAAACTGACACTTCTATCCCCCCACCACCAAAGACCTAAAGAAAAAGACTGGTCATTGTTGAAAAACTTTTCACTTATGCAAAAATGTATTTGCAAAAACAATGAAATTAGTAACAAGACATTTTGTACATTAAACTTTATTTAAATAAATTGTCTACTCACCAACAATTCTTCGTTTATCATCGGTTCTAAGTCGAATAATTTGCATTTTGGAAGAGTTTCCTCCAGGTAAAGAGGTGAGAACATTTTCCACTTTACTCCACACACTCAGTACAGAACCACTTAGAACATGGTAAGTCCTTGTACGCAGGCCAATTTCACACTGCAAACCCATGGCAGTCTTTTTACAATTTCCTTTCCTGCAACACAAAGTTGGCCAATATATCTCAATTTTGTATTAAAAAATAAAGAAAAGAAAAAAAAGTTATCCAGGTTAAAGAAACTCAGGTGTCTGTGTGTTTTTATCTTATATTAAATAATAAAAAAAAAATATGAATACTTTTAATTTGAGAGAAAAATTGCATCCAAATTTTAGAGATGAATATTATTATTATTATTTTTATGCCAGTTTCTATACAGATCAGCAGAGGCTCTCATCTTGGTTATCATACTAAACATTTCTGCTGCTGCTGTTGCACTCTCCAACAATCCAGATCCAAGTATGGAAAATGGGATAACCACCACCCACTGCTGTGGATTGAATAATGGCTTCTGTCAAAAAATTTCAAGGTTAACAAGTATGAAAGACACTTGAAGGCCAAAGAGTACAACAGCTGAAATGTTTGAAGCATAACAGCAACATGAGCATGTTGGCCCAAATTGAAGGGCATATTAAAAAAGTTAAAAAGTTTGACATGAAAAAAGAAAGAAAAGAAAGTACAAACCACACAACAGTAAAACTTTATTAACCTATCTATATCAATGTTTGATAGATAATTCTTCAGTGCCGTTTTTGAGTCCAAATTGTTAGTAACAATGGCTCTCCACTACTTCCTGTCCATTATAACTCTCAGCAACATTTTACTATTTACTATCTGTTCTTGGATATATGTTTTTCATAAAAATAAAAATAAATAGTTTAAATTATTACAATAATTTATTTATTATTATAAATATTAAATTTATATAATTAAGTATAAATAATGATTATTATTGTTATAATATAATTATAAATAATAATTAATTGTAATTAATTAACATATCTGTGAAGAGAACCTGAAAATGTAATCTATATATCTATAATTCTCAAAGTGTGTGTGTGTGTGTGTGTGTGTGTGTGCATATATGAGAGAGTGAGATTGGATGTTGTTTATGGGTTTCCACAGTTTTCAGATTTTGATGAAATTTTTTTTTTTGTTTGATAGAAAATTCTTCAGTGCTGGCTTCTAGTCCAAATTGGCTGAAAAAAAAATTAAAACCTTGAAGGTGAAAAATTGAAAAACTGATTTTTTTTAACATTGTGTAAAAATCAAAAGCAAAATTTAATTTACTTTTTCACACATAACCTTCCAATCCTAGCTCATGCTGTGTGGGCATGATTCACACCTCCACACGTTGCCCATTGGTTGCTGCTGACCTTGATAATTAGCATGTGCAGAAATGGGTGTATATGTGTATGTGCAACACATGCTGTGTCGCGTTCTGAAAAGTGCTGATGCATGTGCATTCGCATGACCTGCAGAATGCGATACCTGTTCTAGTTGCCCATTGGCTGCACTAAACTCCTTCACACGTCCAATCAAATGTCGTGGTGTCATACTGATGGTCTATGCAGTCCTAAGCTCATTGCTAATGCTTAATTCTGCTTCTACTTCTGTATGTCCAGCCCTCCTTCTCTTGGCCAAGAAACCTACTACTACAATTTTAAGACGTTGCTTTCATTGTCGTTTATAGCCATTCCCAATTTAAATTTATTTTATTGTCCTGCCAGCTTTTGCATTGCATTCACCATAGTAATAAATAAGTTTGCTTTTTTTTTTTTTATTTTATTTTTATTACTAAACATTTATTTTTCCAACCTTTCCTAAAGTTATTTAAGCTTAGTGATTCCTGTAGCTTTACAGTGTTCTCTTCTGGTCCTTGCCCCCAGATTCCATTTGACAATTCATACTTGCCTAAGACATGCCACCAAAGAAAAGAACTTGCCTAGGTCGCAAAACCACTGCCGCCAGGTCCGCCATGCGAATAAGGGATAACAAATTATCTTTAGAATGTTCAGTTTGCCGGTCTCAAAATGCCTCTCGGAATGCTTCAATCAGAGCCACTGAGCCCGAAGATCAATACAGCCACTGGTTTTCCAGAAGAGCATAACTGAACACTTCTGTGTGTGAGGCTGAAAATGATGCGCAAGACAGCAGCAGTTGAAGAGGTGTTTCAATTGAGAATGCAAAAACAGCCCTTTCCAGAGCCACCTCCCATTCAAATCATATTGCTAGTAACAAAATAAGACTAAAAGAGTTTACTTACCAATATGCATGAATGCAAGTTCTAGCAGATGAGCGGTACTGGTCATCCCACCAAGATTTGGCATCTTCTGACACCACCTAAAAATTAAAAATATTCAGTATCAGAGATATAAAGATAGGTAGGTGCACATATGCACACACACAATGCGATAAGTAAATTGTTGCCATTTTATATTATTTTACACAAGTGCATTGTTGGTTTTTGATTTTGTCAACTGCACAGTATATAGTAGGGTCCATTGGTCATCATGTGTGAGAAATAGAGTGCTATGATGCAATTCACTCTGCCAGAAATTTGGAAAAAACAAGCAGTACTGCTTGGCATTTGTGTTGGAAGGTCCAATATGAACCTCTCGAGAAGAGAAAGTGAGAGAGATACGAGAGAGAGTGAGTGAGAGATACGAGAGAGAGAGAGTGAGTGAGAGATACGAGAGAGAGTGAGAGAGAGATACGAGAGAGAGTGAGAGAGAGATACGAGAGAGAGTGAGAGAGAGATACGAGAGAGAGTGAGAGAGAGATACGAGAGAGAGTGAAAGAGATACGAGAGAGAGTGAAAGAAATGAAAGACAAAAAAAAAATATCAGTTCATGTTGCAAGAGTGCAGTGAATGTCAAGAGGAGAAAGTGAGCAACATAGAATGTCAAAGAAGTCGTCAAGAACATCATTCTGTATAATCCAGGAATAAAATTATTTTATATTAGTTGACCCCACCCCAATTATTTGTTGTTCTGAGAGTGGAACCTTTAACTGAGAAATTATCTTTGCAAAGGACTCTACCCTTAAAGAGTAGAAAGAGAAACATTCAGAAAGGAAACAACCAAAGTTAAAACTCATTATAAAATAGCTTACTATTTTCACTTACAGTAAAGTGATAAATACATTTCACTTAGAAATGAAGATATAGTTGCCAATTAGTTCAAAGCCACAGCAAAGTCTTAAAAAAAAAAAAAAAATTTTTTTTAAATCTTAGCTGTAGTGTCTCTTTGCATTATATAAATAAAATGTTTACCTACCTTATGAAATTTTTTCTTTAGTTCAGCTGGCGATTCTGAACGGGGTTGTAAACCTGTGTTTGGACGGTAAACATGGAAGTGTCGTTCCTTCTTTTTCATTGTTGGAGGATGAACAGCTAGCACCGCAGTCTTTTTACCATTTCGCATCTAAAGAGGGAAAATGTTTTAAGAGCTTACATGCAAACTAAAAGTGAAGTGAAATCTAAAAACAAGTTACTCTTTGTGTTACTCCTCTTAAGGAGGCATGGTGAAGTCATGGTTAGCAGCTTAGATTGAAGAATCTCCTGATCAGAGGCCTTGCTGCCGGATGTAGTTTAACGTCATACTCAGGACATTTTATTGTAGTAAAGCAGAATTAAGTTTATAAATTTGGGAAGACATAATCAGCAATCTGTTTGAAATAGTGAGAGTTGATTCCAAATTAAACTTAGATGAGAAATTAATGTTACCAAGTGGATATAACAGGTAAATAAATCCCCAATCTATTAGCCACATACATGAAATCTCGGCAGTAATAATAAAAGAAAATTACACAATGAATTGCATAGTTTTTACATCTTACAAGAAAGATTTTACAAACCTGTGCTGAAAGATAGAAGCCATCATCTTGTCCTTTACAATCTTTCCAAATGTCAATGGCTTGGTTCCAAGACAAACCTCTCTCAACACTCACCTGAAATGGAGGATAACTAAGTTTGCTGACAAAATCATTCAAGTTTCAATAAGTTTAGTATTCATAATCATTGATTAAAAAAAAAAAAAAAAAAAAAAAAGTCAAATTATTGTACAACCAAACAATATTTTTAAAAAATATATTCAGCATTAAGAGAAGAAATAAAAAAAAAAAAATAATTATAAAATAGTCAATAATATTGTGTATTTTGAAAGAATGAATCAGTAGGGTTAATGGATTTTTCTTTTAGCACATGAGGATAAAGTTGACAACAAGGAAGCACAAAAATTCAAGGAACAAGTTCATTTAATGTTTTAGAAAGCAATGAACACTAGTGACAAAGGAGCTCTGAAATGGAGTAGTGTTTTGCAATACCTGACCAAAAATTTATCATTATTTTTCTGGCAAAATATTTATGTATATTTAAACAAATTGTTGGATATTGCAGATCCTGAAAGATTTGGCAAAGATTGACTGTATATCCAATTAAACTTATTCCTATATTAATTTGGAAAGCCTTTTTTGCACATTTAATACTATAAGACTTTTCAGGATAAATTACTTTAATACTGTTAAAAATTATAAAGTTCTAAACAAAATTGAGAGACTATTGTATTCCATATCAGCAGCATGAAAGTTGAAAAATTTCATGGCCTAACCAAATACAGGGCAGACCTCAACTTATGACAGAGTTCCATTCCTACAATGCATTGTAACATGATTTCCCATGAATAAGCACTTATGTCACTCACCAATGCAATAGTAAAGTAATAAGGAGGATTGTGGTTTAGTAAACAGTTTATCTAGGACATAAGACATTTCTATGACTAATTTACATAATTAGAACTAAAAAAAAAAAAAAAACTCACATGGACTTGAAACTAATGCATATAATATAAAGAATGGAATGAAACTAATACATAATAGAATTCATTTAAGCTGCCTGTATATTTATTGCCAATGACATTGGTTCTTTGTAAATGAGATTAAGTCTAAGATCATGTCTCTATTGAGTCGTATGTACAAGGCAAATGGCATTAGTTGAAACAAGATTAATGGAGATTGCATTGCAACCATGAATCGTTGTAGGTCGGGATGGTTGTAACCTGAGAATTACTGTATTAAAATTTTTGGTGGGGTGGAGGAATGGGACTTTCACCTAATCTTAAGTTTTTACAAAAACACAGACCCGAGTGCAAGATGATATTTCTTTTTTCATACATGATAAACAAAAATATTCTTGTATATCTAAACTACCTCAAATACGAGCCATAGTCCTTGTTCATTATAGATCAAAATTCAAAAGTAAACTTATACTTACAGTGTGTAATTCTGTGCGAGCTTTGTTAAGATCAGTATTGCCTACAAATATTTTAGTTTCAAGTTTTTTAACACTTTCTCCTCCCGATCCCAGATCTACAAAAAAACAAAAAGAATCATTATTTCCTGCAACTCTTTCAATCAAAATTTATTGAAATAATTACTGTGATTTAGCAAACAGGTTTATGTATGACAATAAAGAAAGCCTGAAAGACAATGCTCACCCATAATTCCCATATCCCATCGACCATTCCGTTTTGCATCCAATATTATAGCTGTTAAGGTTTCCAGGAAATATTTAAATAAGGCATTTTGTTGCTCTACAGGCATACCAAGAATTCGGTTCAGGAACTTGCTGATGTTGTTATATTCTGTAAAAGGTATAAAAAAATGAAATTCAAATAGAGAAAAACTTCAAGAAAATAAAATGTGAGCAATAGTGAAGTGAAAATTACTGACTGACCTTTCTCCAAGTAAGGTGTTCCGACTCGTTCATCAAGACTAATGAGTCCAACGCCAATAAGAGAGGTTTTGATATCTAGAGGGAAAGGAGAAAAAAAAAAAAATCACTTTCAAATCAATCATAAACTTTGGGATAAAAAATTTGAAATTTGCTGCATAATCTGAAAAGCTTAAAATTTCCATTTGCAGAAACATTTATTATATAAATGGAACTTAAAATTGTATATGCCAAAGTTTGATTCTGTTTAGGGGTTATGCTGGCAAATAGCAACAAAGTGAGCTAGTTACCATAATCTGCAGGATAAACCAAAATGCACAATTTTAATATATAATGCACAACATTATCTTTGCATAAACTAAGTTTATGGGAGATAAAAAAAAAACAAAAAAACAAACAAAAAACAAAAAAAAAAAAAACCCATAATGAACAAAAATTAATTTCTAAGTGATTACATTGTTATTAATAACCAGGTTGGCATAAAATACAAATTTACCTTCAAAGAAATCTCCAGAATATTCAGTTGGCGGGGAAACAAGTGGGGTTTCGTAGCGCAAAACAGATTTCATAACACTCTCTAGAGCAGCCCTACCATACTGTAATGGTGGTAGAAAAAGAAAAATTAAATTGATTTAACAGCTGCAGAAAATTTACAGAAGTCAATAAATAAATAAATAAAATAATATATATATATATATATATATATATATATATATAGCAAAAAGATTTTGTTGACCAAATTTAGCAGAAATAGTCAAGTTCATTTAAAAAACAAATTTTAATAAATTTCTATAATACCATGGATGAGCAAAATAGGGTTTAATATCTAATACAACTATGCATATTAATTAGAGCAACACTAATCTACATTTACTCTCAATAGACAGTATTACAAAGGTTTTAGAGTAACAATCAGATACATTCATTTACAGTATTTACTGTTAATCTAAATGGCTCTAACAAGGCTGGATTAAAAAAAAAAAAAAAAAAAAAAAAAAAATTATTTTTCTTACTTTGTTATCAAAATTAAATCTACTTAAATCTCGGGTTTCAGTTGCCCTTCGGTCACCATGTGTCAAGGCTCCCTAGAGAATGAAAAATAAAAATAGTTCAAAATTTGAAAAGAAAAGAAAAACAAAAAACAGTTTTCTAGATGCATTGAAATAAGCAGAGTCTGAACATTTTGATTCTTACATAAAGATAAGCCAAATATGAGAATATCTGCTTCTGGTGGTGGTAAGAGGAGGTGAAAAAAGGTTAACCTTGGTAAGACATTATCTGTCTTAACCATTTGGTCATGTATACATGAGTGAGAAAGAGAGAGAGAGGCTGGGAATTTTACGGCCCCCAGCGTATCTCATTTAAGTTATGGTTCCAGCTACGGTCTGGCCTCTTTAATTCCGCAGTCTGTCATTCAGCCCCCATAGCCTGGCACCTTTCTTGGATCATCTGCCATTAGCACGTTGATTGATTACAAGGGCAGCACCACACATTTACAACTTCCTGCAGCAGTAGACTGTTTGGGTGATATGATCTTGCTCATTTCTTATATATAGTTTGATATTTACCCATTTTGCTACACTAGACAACAGGTGGTGCTATAGGTAAGAAGGCTAAGAAGCGTAAGCATAAATCTATGGAGTTACTGAAGAAATTAAAGAAAGGAATGTTGTCAGCAATATATATGTGGAATGAGTTTGCAAGACTATGTTTACATAGTTCCCTAAAAAAAAAGGGGGGGGATTTGTGTTATTCTCCGTGTCTTGGTAATGGTCTGGTCCCAAAAGGTGCCAGGTTCTTCAAGAAGTTGGACTGTATAAAGTTGTTTAAGCATATTTGACCAAAAAAAAAAAAAAAAAAAAAAAAAAAGTTGACCAGAAGTTTATTTACCTGTCCCTTAACTACTACTCATTCTATGAATTCTCCCACCCCCAAAATGCTCAGTCATTTTGAAAGCAAGAAATTACTAAAAAAAAACAAAACAATGATATCAGTATATTTCAATTAGGCTGGATAAAAGGTCATCAGAATTTGTAGAAGTTATTAAATTTCAACTACAGAATAAAACTGAAGCTTACCAAACTTTCCAGCCTTTTGGCTACTGTGGAAGCAAACCTTCTTTCTCCTGCCAATTCAGATATGAGGAAAATGTATTCTGGTGCACTCACTTGATTTGATCGATGGGTGCGTCCTACGGAAAAAAAAAAATGATATACTTGACAATTCTGTCAACAGTATCAATGGAAATATTTTATTTCTAATAAAATAAACATTTACTATTGACTTCATTCATTTTCAAAATTCTCTTTATTGCAAGTGGTATGTGTTGCATAATGGTTATCAACATGGAAAGTGAAATTGGCCTGACAAGTAAAAAAAATTAACTGTTTCATTGACTTCATCTTCAACCAGGTATAGCTTAAATAGCAGGGCAGACTGGGCTCTCTTGCCTTGAGTGGTAGACAGGGGAAGGAAAACTGAATTCCAAACCAACTTAAAGAGGGATGGGCTCCACTGGATTATCTTGCTTCACACTCTCAGATCTACTACAACTACAGTGTGTGGTTGTATCTACAATTAATGGGTTACAGGACTCTTGACTGGCACATAACATTCAATACCTCTAAAACCAAGCTAGTAACATTTCATTATAACTGAGGAAACCAGAGTTTTCTCCAGTTTGATGAATGGTTTTATTCTCAATGAGGCTTTGTTGCATGAAACATCTATTGAGACTCAAATTCACCCCATACCTCATTTTTAAAGTGTCCAGTCCTTTCTACTGATCCAGAAAAGTATCCGAATTCTACTGCAATGCTCTATCTTTACAAGAGTCAGATCAGACCAAAAATATTGTATTGCCGCCATATCTGGGTTGGAGAAACTCAAATCTTCACTTTCTAGCTTTGACAGAGTTCAAAAGCCTCTATATGGTCTTGTGGGTGATGAATCATTTCCCACCCTACAATTCCTTTCCCAGAGACAAAACTTTACAAGCCTATTATTATGGAAAATGTTCTGATGAGCTACATACCTTAATTCCATTAGTTCAGTCATTTACAGCTAAAACCTGCCATGCCACTTATACTTGGGGGGGGGAGGAGGAGTTATTCTTGTTCTCTTTGTATCCCAATTGGTAAAAAGTTCTATTTGGACAGCTTCTTCCAAAGAACCATTACTTTGTGGAACAGGTATTCGAGAAGATGCTTCCCTAACACTACAATCTTAACCTCTTCAAGTTTTGGGAATCAACCATGACCTACATCAACCACATTCTACATTGACTGGCTCTTGGACCTTGTATTGAGTGAACAATAGTATAATAATAATAAAAACTTTCTCTAACCAAAAGCATCTCTTTTTTGTGGCTGTGTTCATTTTAGAACTATGTTTTAAATTGCTATCCCATCACAACCTAAAAAAAAAAAAAAAAAAAAAAAAAAATCACAAATACACCTAATTCTATATCTGGCATCATTAACTAATTCTGTTCAAGTTGAAAATCTCTGAAGCTTATTTCGTTTGGTCCACATTTCACATAAAAATTGAACATTTAAAAAATTAAGTAAAATAAAACTAATGCATTTAAAAACCCAATAAGATGTTGGTAAACTTACCAAATTGTTGGATAGCTCTGTCTGCACTCCATGGTAATTCTAATGTTATATGAACACGCCGCTTCTGATTACGTGCTCGTCTGTCAGCTTGAAGTGAAATTCCAGAGCTGGCAGCTTCAGAGATGATAGCAATATTCTAAAGAAAAAAAAGAAAAAAAGAAAAAAGAAAAGCCATTTACAATCAGTGAATGTGAGTTTGATAGTTACCCGACAAAAAGGTAGGGATATTTTTTTTTAAACTCCTATTTAAAAGGGGTTTAGCAAACTGTTCAAATTTATACTAGGAGAGGACTAATTAAAATTGTCTAATACTTAAATTGATTAACTGTCATATCCTCAATAAATAAAATTAAGAACAATTAAAGTTGGGTCAGGATTAAAGTTTAACCTTATGAATCTGTTTACATTTGGATTAGTCAAAACAGATTAATTAAAAACCTTAAAATGATAATTTCCTACAAATCAAGAATAAAATTAAGTTGCAAATATTTAAATCATAATTAGCAAATGAAATATTTGTTAAGAAACCTTGGTTTAATACCCAATCAAAGAATTATGTACCTCCATAGCATGAAAAAAAAAAAAAAAAAAAAACAAAACAAAACCCCCATACTTCAAAAAGCTTTTAGAGGGTTTTTTTTTTTTTTGTAATGTCATCCAAAATTATTTAGATTATACTTGAAAACTTAAGATTTAAATTTATAGGAGTTGAAGTGTGTGTGTATTATAAATAATTCTATTTGAATGATTATGACAATAAAAAACCATTATGCTTGTTTTATACTTTCAATCCTAGATATAAGAGAGAGAAGAAGCACTTACTTTCTCACCATCCATAAAGCGTTGCTTTTCTGTCAGATTAAGTATTTCAAGAGGAACATCAAGTTCACTCCTAGACTCATAACTGACACCACCATCTTCATTTGACACAACTCTGCCTTTGCGTCCAGTCATCTGGCAGGAGAAAAAAAAATTACTTTCAATCATATAGCTTTTTAGTTTTTTTTTTTAAATCTTGGGTTAAAAGCTGTATTTGCAAATAGTTTTTGTAAGCAAAAAATAAAAAAATATTTTAGAAAAATATATTATAAAAGAAGAGCTGAGTTTTTGGTCTGACACACTCATACAGTGTGTGTGTGTGTGATGTTGCATGCATTTATGTAATGGATGTGTGTATATTTTTACATGTTCTATTTAATGTACATACACAACACACACACACACAATATGATTTAGTCTGAAAGAAGATATTGGGGTAATACATTAACAATTGAATGAAATTGAAATGGACATTGTCACAACGATTAATTTTCCTGTCTTGCAACAATTCCTGAGTATCAGGAATAAATACAGGTTGTAATGTGCAGTCCTCTGGTGTCATTTTAATAATTCCCTCTGTATTTAAACTGAATATATATTTCTAATAAATGTCTGATTTTAAATAAACAATTTAGATGTGTAATTTGATCATCTGGCTGTCAGCAAAGTGATGGAACTAGTTCTGTTAAGATGGAGAGAGAAAAAAAAAAAAAAAAATATGATGTACACATTTCTTTCAATTTCAAATCTTAATACTAAATATTTATTGGTAGTTGTCAGTGAAAGTAGAGAAGCATAAAGCTCTAAGCCGTGGCGGGGTTGGGTGTATTGAAGTTCTTACCTCTGCAACATTTTCTGGTCCTCCAAGTTCATCAATTAAATGGTCCAAAGTGTTTGGGGGAAGAATGTCAGAGAGTTTCTCAATGCTTTCAAGTAGTTCCCGCTTCATTGCAATTGCTTGGTCGATACTGTCCATGCCTAATAAAATATTTCCAGTTTTATTAAAAGAAAAACTAAACTGTATAAGAAAGCAAAATGTACACACATGAAAACAATTGATGGAAGGGGGAGCCACCACCAATGTCAGAGAAAGGGAAACTATGGATTACAAAATAATCCAATTTCATTTTAAGTGAACACATTGGCTGTAATATACAGATTAATTTTGGTTGAAGCAGCCACTCCTTAACTTCTGCCCCGACCCTCGTCAATGTTGGACAATATCTTAATTAACTATAGTAATTGGATGTCATTTGAGGATAGAACATATACACAACTTTATATTAGATGATTAACCATTTAAAGCCAGAAGCACCTGAATGCACCTACAAGTCTAACACGAATGCACTTGCAGTCAGGTAGCACTGTATTTCAATATGCAGCATTAACACCCATCACATGATTAACCTTTATGACCATGTATGTAACTTCATTTGCTGTACAAAAAGTTTACCCTGCTACTGAAGGTAACAGATTCCTGAATTCGAATTTAATAGGTGTGTTGTCATATCCTTCTATAGCAACAGAAAACAACTGATTGAAATTAACGATAAGAATAGTGCAATTGAAAGGCATTGAAAAAGAATGCAGTGGAAAGGGAAATAATATTAATAATGTAGACGGTTTAAAGGTTAAGTAAAAGTGCTGCAAATCTACAACTCTTACAAAGTTGTATATTTCCAAAACCCTATCTCCTAACCAGAAATAACAAGGAGGCTAAATATGGTATCATTTGAAAGAGAAATCAATTTATTTTCAGATAAAATCAACTTGTAAGACTTGATTTTCAACACTTTTTTTTTCAGATGTATCAATTGAATTGCACTAACATCAGATTTTAAGATTTTTTTTTCAACAATTCAATATTTAGGACTCCAAGGATTTAACAATTGGAATCCTTCATGTGCTAACAAAGTTGCAGAATTTTATTAATGGAGTTATTTCTGAAGCAAAAGCAAGCTTTAACACATCCCTGTTGACATGACTTATACAGTGTTTTATGTTCATTTTTGTCATGTCAGTATTTTTTTGTAATCAACAATGAGCCATTGACACAATTTACAATTCGAGTTGGTAGCAAGATATTCAGCCATAAAAAGAGTCTTAAGAAGTGTATTATTGTCTTTTCCATCATGGAAGCAGATTGGTAGAATGTCATGAAGCAAGATATTAAAACCAAAAACAAAGCACTTACTTGTATTGCTAAAAGAATCATTGTCAGCAGAAGCCAAAGAGTTATTTTTCTTGAGTAAGCCAATAGCAGCCAATGCTTTATCAAACTGAGCATCCACATCCTTATCGCTGTCCTTCTTTTTTTTTTTCTTTTTCTTCTTTTCTTTAATTTTTGATCTGGCCTTGGATTTTTTCAGCCATGGATCTGGAAAAGTCAAAAATATTTGGATTGAGTTTTTTTTTTTTTTTTTTTGACAGATGCAATATGTATTTAGAAACGTCTATTTTATTTAACAAAGTATTATTCCCATCTCCTAGTAAGCAGAATGCTATTACAATGGTTTTGTTTGCATTGGTCAACTGCATTTTTTTTTTATGGTGACAATCTTTACCTAATAAAAATATATAAATAAAAAAGATAATTGATTTCATGAGAATATATTTTACAGCAAGGAGATAATCAGAATTAATTTTGCAGTGAAGCAAACCAGTTTATAATAGGGGAAGGGGACAGAGTAGTTATGTTTTTTGTTAAGCAGTTGTAAGTTTGTAAAACTTGGTAGCATTCAAAAAGAATTTATTAAATTAGAAGTGGCGAGGGGGAGAGAGAGAGAGAGAGAATGATGATTGATTTCTATATTTTCTGTAAAGAGAGAATTAGTACCCATCAGTTATTGCAAATTGTCCTTTACCGGCAAGCTGCCATTCTCCCAGCAGGAATGATCTAAGGCACTTACCATCATCACTGTCTGATCCTGATCCAAAAGGATTGAAGTCATCAGAATCAGAATCTGAAGATTCAGAGGGACTGAGACTCGAGTCGCTACTGTCAGAGTCAGAAGTAGAATCAGACTTTTCACATTTTATCCGTTTGGCATTACCATCTTGAAAATTCCCTACAAAATAATACAATAGTCTAATTATCAGGAAGAAATAAAATCCAATGCTATAATACAGACATCCTGCCAAGAATCTAATTAGAAAAATTCAAAAGAATACCATTATTTTACCACCTTGCATTTATTGCAGAGTTTCTACAGAAACTTTATAGAATTGGAGTCTCCCACAATGTTAAATATAACTCATTCAAAAATTAATGTCGTCTTACAAATAATATATTAAAAAAAAAAAAAAAAAGAAAAAAAAAGAAAAGATTTTAAAGAAAAACAAATTAAGTTTAATGAGATGACACTGAAAAGCCATCCCATCAAGAACCTTTCAGCACCCCAATCATGTGTTTATATAGTAACAATTATCAAATTAAAATTTTTTCAGTAATACTATTGTCAAAAAATATTCCAAAAGAGACTTTAATATCCAAATTAAGTTTACAGAATCTATAATTTTATGTTTTACCTTTCTTTCGCTTTGCTCCACTGTTCCAAGAGGAATCCTCGTTGGAAAAATTATCATTGCCAAGATTTAGGAAATCCAAAGTCTTCCGCCGGTCAGGTGCTGGAAAATGCTTTTCAACTAATGTCTGGAAGACACCTCTGTCAAAAAGAAGTGCACAAAATTAGTGCAAAAAATATCCAGGAAAATACCTTTCAGAATCATATTTGGATCATTGCAAAGTTTTGTCGTCCTGGGTATGATAATAAACTATATCTGGCAGCAAGACCTCTGATTGGAAGGTTTTGAGGAGCAGGAATCACCTCTTAATTGCTGTTGTTCCCAGGTTCACCCTGACCCGGGGTGGAGGCACCTGTTAGGGTTCCAGCTATGGGCAAATAGTGAACCCACAAAACTGGTGTCAAAACACCATGAAAGTGTAGGAATACATTTTTGTAAGAAAAGAAAAAAAAAAAAAAAAAATTACCAGTAATACATTTTTGTAAAAGATATTACTGTACATACTTGAGGATAGGTTGTACATTTTTCATCAAAAAAAAAAAAAAAAAAAAAAAAATCAGGAGTGCAACCATCCACTCGACATCATAGACAATCTGAAGTAGACTGATGTATCAGTGATGTGGGCAAATACCTTAATAACTATATCTAAATGAATAAACACTTATGTTTTAATATATGCAATCAAAGTTTTTTAAAAAAAAGAGGTGAATATTTGAAAATATTTAACAAATATTAGTTATATTTACATAAAAAGGGAGGGGGCATGTAACTCCCTACATTATAGCGTGACCTATCTGTGAGTCAACCACAAATACCCACTTTGACAACCCCAAACTAAGAGCGCAACCTATTTACTTGTGTCAAGAAAATTAAATTTTGGCATTAAATGACTCATAAGTAGTTGATATGGCCTTAACAAAACAAACAAGCATAGGTTTGTGTCTGATTTTTATTGTTTTCAATTTTCTAATTGGGCACAAACTTTTGCAATGATTTAATTCTGCTTGTTCCTTAGTTATGGAGTACATTACATTCTACCATGTCAATAACTCAATGTTTTGATCATGAGAAAAGATGGAAAAACAGAGTTTATAGTTGTGAAACTTGCAAGGAGAGTATTCACTCATTAATGTAAGAATTATGACTTATCAGAAAATTCAAATAAGAAAAGTGAAATTTTCATGGGCACTAGTTTATTATTGTCTTAGAATATAATGAGAAGGATGTTAACAAAATTAAAATAACTTTGATGCCCATTTTAATTATGTTTGGCAAATCCTGATGAACCAGTGAAATAATCAGAAATATTAAAAACATCACAAATTTATTAATTACAACAGCTAATATAACGGTATTGGCTAGATGTTTGGAAGAGATCCAGTCAAATTTTAATAGATGAGAATTCATTTGACTTACTTAGCAGTAGATACAAAATCATTTAACTCTCCTCCATGTTCCTCTAATTGTTCCAGTGTTCGAGCCTCACCAGTTGATTGCAGGCCAATGACAACACACTGTGGAGAGAAAAGAAAAGCAGTTACCTTAATTATAAAGTGCACTTTCAATTCCTCTGTAAATCTAAAGTTGATATTGGATAGAAATTTGTGTTGCCTTGACACCTGAATTATTAATAAACTCTGTGGGCAGGGGATTAGCATACAAAAGAAAGACAAAGCATAGGTACCCCAAATAGTCAAGTACTAAAATGAGAGAGAGAGATACGAGAGAGAGAGAGAGAGACTGATAACATTGTTTCCCTTGAAGAATATTTGTTATAATTTGGACAAATTCCAAATTTATTCAGGTTTTAACCTAAGTGACACACAAAAGTGAATGTGATTCTGTTTTTAATGGTCAAAGCCCATACACAAAATAGACACTTGTTAACTTGGAACTATTGTTTATTTTCAAGCTTGAATATTACAGGTGGAGGATTTAGCCTTAGTTTAGACTGAAAAATTTTTGAATTGTTTTTTTTTTTTTCCAAAATTTAACAGATTGAATTGTTTACATTGACAAAAAAATATTTGGCAGGCACATTTAGCTTTTTGTAGGACATTTTTTAACAGATAAGATAAAAGTATTACATTGACAAGGCACATTTTATATTAAGCAGGCACATTTTATATTAAGTAGGTTTAATTTCCTAATTTATAACAAACAGAAAGTAAGAAAGCATGCTATAATATGTGCCCTTAGGAAAGGGGCATGAATCCAAATCCTTGTACCAGATATTTTAGTAAAAAAAAAAAAAAAAAAAAAAAAAAAAAAATCTCATCATTATTGTTAACAGAAACAAATAGCACTTGGACAGCTCACGCTCCCACCACTCCCTATTGCTGTTATGATCCAAGTAGCAGGAGTAAAAAGCTGTTACCAAGATTATTGACATGGAACAAGGTCAATTATCAACTCATAAAAATTTTTTTTTTTTTTTATAAGTACATCCTCTGTTCCAATCTAGTCACTAAGTGAAGAGTTGTACCTGGTTGCTATTTCAGGCGATAGTAATAGTAGGCATCACAAATTGGCCTAGTTTAGGGTGAAAAAACTGGTAAATATAGTGAAACACCCTTCAATTTCAAATTGCAATATCTTGTTTATTTTTGGGGTTATTTTGATAAAATTTTGATGTAAACAAAATTTAGTCTTTTCTCTTTATAAAAGATACAATACTTTCTCTTGTATTATTAATAGTTTTTTTTTTCAGGTCACCTCAAGTTAGGCCACTATTTTTGGTGATGACCACTTTATTTAAAAAAAAAAAAAAAAAATAAAAATAAAAGTTGGTGTTTTTCATATTTCGTGTGTAAGATATTGTGTCTTCATGCATATAAAAACAGTCCCATTTAAAAAAGAAAAAAGGGGGTCACTTGTCAATGTGGTGTGCTTAAGTTATCTTTCACAAAACAAATCCAAGTTGAAAACTCTAGTGAATGAAATACCAAAGAAATTCAATTTAAAAAAAAATCTTGAAAATGACAGTTTTGTAGATAAATATATAGTCTTTAATAATCTGTTGGTGTCATTATTACGCGCATAAACCAAGGAGCACTGAATAAAAGTGAGCATAGCCCACATCAAGATTTACAACACTGGACACAGTGACAAAGTAAGCATACATCACTAAACACAACTGCATTGCTGAATGACCAAATGAGTGAGTTTAAAAACTTTTTAGAGAATAATTTAAAAGCTATATAAAGAAAGTTTAAAATAACCAAAATTGCAGAATATATTTTTTTTAGTTGAACCCTTCCATAAGTGAGTGAAATTTATCTTCCAAAGACATCTCCAGATGAATCAACCACTACTGAATACACATCTGCTTCACAAGTGAAGATACTAGAAGAAGCCATCAAAAAATATCACTTTTTTTTGCACTGTCCAGTCTTTTTTTTTTTTTTCAATCATTGACAGTGAAATATAAAAATAAATAAATAAACAGAAAACATATTTGCAAATTAAAATGTTCATGCTAAGAATGTGATTGCCACAATTTTAAAAATGAAGTTTGTTTTCTAAACTGAATCAGTCAATTGAGAGACAAGAAAAAGATGACCAAGAGTCAAAATTAGTTATTAAAAAAAAAAAAAAAAAAGTTTCTTTTGAAACAAAGTAACAAGAGGCTAAGTGAAAATAATGAGCTTAAAAAAAAAAAAAAAGAAAAAAAAAAAGGTGACTTCCTTGCAAACAAGTACAGCTGAAAGCAGAAAAGATAGCACTTCAGAAAATAAGTCTTTTGAAAAGGAAGTGTGAGAAGTTGAGGAAGGAAAAGATTTTCATAGATAAAGTTAAAAAAACAGATATTGGAAGAAAACAAAAAGAGGTTAGAGTAACCAGGGACAGTTTCTGCAACTGCTTTAATGACAATGTCATAATGACCTTTATAGGCCTGCAGGAAGCAAGTATTTCTGCATCAAAATGCTCAAAAGTAATTGACTGATGGCAGCAACCTTTTTGAAGAAAAGCTGGATGATCTTTTAATATCCGCATCAGCAAATATAGGTGATGAATCTCATTTTATCTCTAAGAATCATGCTACAGAAAAGGTCCTCCAGTCACAAAGTATCACACTCCATACAGATTGGGACGAGTAGGCAAAAACAGAGGTATCTGAGTCAGCAGGTGACATTGAGTGATGGAACTTTGGTCAGTCTGGGCTTTACGGAGATTGCTTCAGAGGATTCCGACACACTACTCTCTACAACCATCAATCTACTGGATGAGTTGAGTGATGTCTACTGCCTAGTTACGAATGAGGAAAAGAATATTTTTAAGCACCTTCTGGAGAAAAATCAGCAGTTAGATGTCTGAGCAGGCAGCAGTCATGCAGTGTTACAAGAAATTTGGTTCTTACTGATCAACTACCTTTCTTTACTGCAATGTCCATTTTTTACTAGGCTTATCTAGTTCTTGTGAGCCTGCACTAAAAGACATAAGAGAAAAGTATGTGCAGTTCTGGCAATGCTCTTAGAAGGAATTCTTAGACCCAATTTAGAACTTCATCTTCAGAATCAGCTACAGGAAAGCTGATTCAAACCATTGCTGATGTTCTTGGACACTGTGGAGATGATAAAAGTGGTTGCAGAACTGAATGGCTCACATTATGTAATAGGGAAGGGCACCGGTCTGAAATCACAAGTTATCATGCAAATAGGTTTAATTCTCTATTTGAAAATGATATGAAAATATTTCATCACAGACAGCATATAAAATTTTTTTTTTTATCTGAGTGTGCAACATCTTCTAATTTGAAATTACAGTATGTTCTGATTGATATTTCTGATGAGAGACTGAATTCCCTTTTTGCTGCTGCTGCTGAAGGACTGCTGAACATTAATCTGACAAAGCCCTTCTGGAATCTTGTCAATAGCACTGTCCAGTATGTTGACTTCAACTGATATATATCAAGCAAATGGCTCTGGATTTGGAATGCTGGATCAAC